ATGGGGTTAATTGCCACAGGAGTTTTTGTAATATTGTACTGCAGACTGTTGGCCTTAACCATAATATATGAGAAAATTCCTACTTGGCACCTGTGGTTATACACTCATGTCAACTTGTACCAGGAAAATATTGACATTCAGAGGAAGAATAAGCCATCTGTCTAAATCTATTCATAGACTCATTTAAACAATTAAGGCTAAACTGTAAGTGTAATGTTGATAAGCAGAATCAATAGACTTACTAGAGCATTTTAATTTGTATATACCTCTCATCATGCATTCGATAAAGGAGAAAAGGAAGTTTTATAGTTTCATTTACTTGAGTTAATACTGGCTTTTTAGGCCGGCATCATGGCTCAATAGGCTAGTCCTCCACCTGCGGCACTGGCACCCCGGGTTCTAGTCCCGGTTGGGGCACCGGATTCTGTCCCAGTCGCTCCTCTTCCAGTCCAGCTCTCTGCTGTGGCCCGAGAAGGCAGTGGAGGATGGCCCAAGTGCTTGGGCCCTGCACCCCATGGGAGACCAGGAGGAAGCACCTGGCTCCTGGCTTCGGATCGGCGCAGTGCGCTGGCTGCAACACGCCAGCCGAAGCGGCCACTTGGGGAGTGAACCAATGGAAGGAAGACCTTTCTCTCTGTCTCTCTCTCTCACTGTCCACTCTGCCTGTCAAAAAAAAAAAAAAAAAAAACACTGGCTTTTTAGCTAATAAAAGCTTCCATATTCTTAAATATTTATGTAAATATTTATTTGTTGATGATGATGTTATTATTTTGTGAGCTGAATGTTCAGCATGGAGAATCTTCAACCAATAACAGTCAGATGACTGAAAAATGTATTTGGTCTTATTGGAGTAGCTACAAAGCTTCCTGTTCTGAAGATAAACCACAACAAGGCAAATAAGAGATGGTAGAGCTTTGTAGCACAGAGTAGAGAGTTGATTTCCTACTGTGAATGACTTGAGCCTCATATTCCTTATTTGTAAAGCAATCCCATCACGTCTTAAAAATTAAGACAAGAAAATGCACAGGAAGTGATTAGTGCTTTACCCAGGACATGGAAGTATTCAGCAAAAGTTAGATCTTTATATTGTGATTCCACAGGGAAATTTAGAATTAGCATAACATTAAAGAATACTCATAGATTAGGCAATCTTTGTCTCTTAAGTGGGTATTTTCTGAAACACGTATTTTCTGAAACATGTATGAAAAGTACCTTTGATATTCTCTGTGCGTTCATTCTCCATTGCAGAATAATTGGGTGGCAATCTCCAGAGACACGGCACACAGTAGGGTAAGGAGGCTCCAATAGTATGAGAAATAAAGAATGTGGTGAGGCTACTTCCCATAGCATGAACCAATTATGAAGCTGACTTGGCACACAGCAGTGAGACCACCAACATATGGCATCCACAGTGTGGAAGCTGCCAAATTATTGCCAGAATCAAAGAATCAATTCAAGGTGACAAATTCATATGGCATATGGTATCATTTGGGTTCCAAATATTCTTTTTGCCATATATCTATAGGAATTACCAGTTATAACACAATATGTCCTCAGCTCCTCATACCCCCCAAACCTTACCATCTCAACTCTAAATGTCCATGAACCCAAGCATCACATTGTTTTGTCTGAAACTATCAGTAAACGATATTTATTGCTTTGTTTTTAAATGTTTGGATTCTGGTAATCATAGTATAAAAAGCAATGCAGTGGCTTAGCAGGTAAACCTGCCACCTGCAACACTAGCGTCCCATATGGGCACAGGTTCCTGTCCCAGCTGCTCCACTTCCTATCCAACTCCCTGCTGACGGTCTGGGAAAGCAGTGGAAGATGGCTCAAGTACTTGGGCCCCTGTGACCCACATGGGAGACCCAGATGGAATTCCTGGCTCCTGGCTTCATCCTGGCCCAGCCCCAGCAGTGTTGGCCATTTGGGGAGAAAACCAATGGACAGAAGATCTCTGTCTCTCCCTCTCTCTCTGTAACTCTGAATTTCAAATAAAAAAAGTCCAGTAACTCAATCCAGAAAGCAGTGAATTTGCACTTTGAGTTCTAACTTTAACAGGTATTTACTGGATTTCAAGTTCTTTTGATGTTTAAGGGTGGAATAATAAAACTGACTGTAAACACAGTGGTTGTGAGTTATGTGAGTTTAAAATAGTACGTTAACTGAAAACTCAAAGAGATTAAAAATATATATCACGAAGACAAGGAACACTGTCATAAAATCTGAAGACCAGATTTTGCTAATTATATCAGGGCTACTTTCCACTCCTTTATGAGATATGGGATATGTAATACATTAGGCAGTAAAACTAAAATCATAAAATAGATTATATTAATTCAACAGTTCGAGTATACAATAAATATTACTCAGCAAAATGTAAATGCCCTTAAGGTTTAGATGGATGGGCTTTTAGGAATTATTTTAAAAGTTATCATCGGCCGGCGCCGCGGCTCACTAGGCTAATCCTCCGCCTAGCGGCGCCGGCACACCGGGTTCTAGTCCCGGTCGGGGCGCCGGATTCTGTCCCGGTTGCCCCTCTTCCAGGCCAGCCCTCTGCTGTGGCCAGGGAGTGCAGTGGAGGATGGCCCAGGTGCTTGGGCCCTGCACCCCATGGGAGACCAGGAAAAGCACCTGGCTCCTGGCTCCTGCCGTCGGATCAGCGCGGTGCGCTGGCCGCAACGCGCCGGCCGCGGCGGCCATTGGAGGGTGAACCAACGGCAAAGGAAGACCTTTCTCTCTGTCTCTCTCTCTCACTGTCCACTCTGCCTGTCAAAAAAAAAAAAATTGTAAAAGTTATCATCAAGCTATATCTCAGCATTTAATAGGTAAAATATTTCATGGTCAAAGAAAATTTAGAAACACAGAATTAAACAGCATTGTATGTTTTCTCTGCTGCTGGACTTTTGTAAAATTATCCATGAACTCCTTAATGTGACAGTGTTTATGCTTTCTGAGCTTATTTGATCATGGAATTCTTCACTGTGGATCTTGAAGAAAGAGTTTTTGAGAAGTTTATTCTCCGAAGTGCTAATATAAATGGAACCCTGTATTTTATGTGCTAGAACTAAAGTCCAGAGAAATTAAGTGTCTGAGTAATGGCAGAGACAGGCCCAGAAATCTCAGATGTTGATTTCATCTGGTGAAGCTTTTGACAATTTCTTTTCTAATATATCATATGATGTGATGGGTAACGAACGTTTTCTTAGGAGAAGGTTCTGTCACCATGCCTTTCTATTTCACTGATTGATGTCAGCGACATGGCTGGAAGTTGATTGAAGCTGTTATGCTGGTGAAGCTAAATTTTAGCCCCTATCCCTTCCCAAATGGTGAATCATGACTTTGCAAGTACGACTTGGGTTGCTTACCTACCGTTAGCTCTTAAAGCAAGAAGAGAGGGGCACACCTGCCTTTAAAATAATCCACACAGACCATAACCCAATGCATCATATTTTATTTTAAAATATATTTGAAACTGCTTCTGCAAAGTCTGTAATGCTCAGTGACATGGAAATAAATTGCACACACCAGTGCACATCACCATCTGCTTAGGCAAAGATGCCCTTTTTGCCGAGTGGAAAGGTTAGTTTCAGCTTAGCAAAGTGGGGTTGGGCAGTTCCCAACTGAAAACAAAACAAAACAAAAGAAAAAAGTAAAAGCCCAGGGAAGAGTGAATTTTAAAAAAGCAAAACAGCATGATTGGTGTGTGTGTGGCCAGTGATGAATGTTTAATTCCTATGTGAGTGTTTTACCCAAGGAAAGGTTAAGGTGGCTGGGAAAGAGGTGCCAGCTCCCTTCCAAGTTGTGGAGGAACCCTTAGCAGAAACAAGTCATTGCTTACACTCTAGCAAAGCTTGAGAGAGGAGTAGTGAACTGTTGCCAAGACAAAACAAGATGTTATTGACCTGCTATGGAAGTCCGCTGGAATTCAGATCTCCCGGAAGTAACAGAATAGCCAGTTTCTCTGTCTCCAGCAGGTAATCTGGAGTAAATTAACAGAATCTCAGTTTTAGGCAGAGATGTCAAATAGATCAGCAGTATCTGTTGTACTATGTACACAGAAAACGAGGCCAGGTGCTGGCAGAAACGGCTCACATCCCTGAACCATTTGTTCGTGACTCCAGGCCTTGCTACACGCTACACACATGTACATAAAATGCACATGGTTGTACACAAGCCGAGGTTCTAGCAATTTTCAGAAAGAGATGAGTTTCACAGTCCCACAACGAATACAGAGTCACTGCACCCACATTCACTCCCCACTTGTTCACCCGTTTATTTAAGAAAAGGTATGCCAGGTCTATGTCTCTGAGCACACTTTCCACAGAAAGAAATGTGTTGTAATGAATCTTTTCATGAATTGGAGCGAAAGTTCGATTAAGAGAAATTGGGACTGTGAGTGCACACTTAAGGATATAATTCACAGACTCTGAAGGAAAATGAGGAATTCTTTTTCTATGAATATCTACCCTCCATGAATGTGACCTTATAATCAGATCCATCAGCTGAAATTTCTGGTAATATGGACACCAATCTGGGAGTTCATTGACAGTCCTTAAGATAGCTGAAGTTGGGTAAAAAAAAATATATGGAGTACCTGCAAATTGATTATTTTGTACTCCTTGACACCAACAAAACAAAATACGATACACATGACTGTAGTTTGTTTATGTATGACCTTAAAGTTCCTCTCCATCTCCTTGTTAACTCTAGAGTGAAGTAATGGAAGCACAGACACCTGTTACGCCAACAAAATTATCTTGTGATTTGGGAGAAACTAGACAGAGATTTTAAAGGAAGACGAAGAGCCGAGAATGCTCAGTGCTGGGGGAAATAGGTGAGTGATTTCCAGAAACTTCTCTGGACCCTTCATCTCCTACTCCTTGTGCTTAATAAATCTTGCTACAAGGATACTTCAAAAGGTTAACTGAAAATGTGATTACAATGTAAGTTTATTCTATTGCAAGAAATGTTGAAATCTGTGCATATGAGGGGTCTTTACAGGGTCACAGAATGTGCATATTATGAAAAAAAAAACTATGTATTTCAAAAGTTTTAGTTCCAAATTAAACATCTTTTAATTCCGTTTGTGCACACACTTTTTCAAGTACCCTTTTATTGAGCAATTTCCCTGCAAAAACTAGATCAGGCCTAGAAAATGCCTATTCTTGACTGTGTGAAAGGAAGCAAGCAAAGCTGTGCATTAATATACCTCATCTTGGGGCAGCACTGTGGCTTAGCAGGTTAAGCTGCCTCCTGCGATGTCAGCACCCCATGTGGGAACTGGTTTATGTCCCAGCTGCTCCACTTCTGATCCAACTGCCTGCTATGGCCTGAGAAAGCAGTGGAAGATGGCCCAAGTGCTTGGGATCCTGCATCCAAGTGGGAGCCCTGGAAGAAGCTCCTGGTTCCTGGCTCCTGGCTCCTGGCTTTGGCCCGGTCTAGCCCCAGGTGTTGTGGCCACTTGGGGAGTGAACCAGCAGATGGAACATTCTCTCTCTCTCTCTTTCTCTCCCTCTCTTTCTCTCTCTGTAACTCTTCCTGTAAATATAAATAAATATATATAAAAATATATACATATATACCTCAACTTGAAGTAGACTACAGATGTTATTGATATAAAAATTATTTACCACCTCAAGGCAGCAGTCCTCCTTCTGCATTTCCTCTAGAAAATCAGGTTTTCTCATGGTATCACTGTGAAAAGCAAATGAAATAGTGTCAGAATATATATACAAGGCCAGCGCCGCGGCTCACTAGGCTAATCCTCCGCCTTGCAGTGCCGGCACACCAGGTTCTAGTCCCGGTCGGGGCGCCGGATTCTGTCCTGGTTGCCCCTCTTCCAGGCCAGCTCTCTGCTGTGGCCAGGGAGTGCAGTGGAGGATGGCCCAAGTGCTTGGGCCCTGCACCCCATGGGAGACCAGGAGAAGCACCTGGCTCCTGCCATCAGATCAGCGCGGTGCGCTGGCCGCAGTGTGCCGGCCTCAGCGGCCATTGGAGGGTGAACCAACGGCAAAGGAAGACCTTTCTGTCTCTCTCACTGTCCACTCTGCCTGTCAAAAAAATTAAAAAAAATTAAAAAAATAAGAATTTATAAAAAAAGAATATATATACAGTTATATAACATATATAACACACATTGCAGTAAAATATTTAATACACTAATAAAAGCATATTTGGTATCATATGTATATAATATATGCATGTTTATGTATAGTATAAATATTAAGTATATTTATTACAAATGTATTATACATTATATTTTATACATGTGTTTATACAGTATTCTGATTATTATTTGTAACACTTCTATAAATGTAAAATATTAATCAGTGTCTCATTCAAGTTAAGAACTGAGCCACTGAATTTTTTTTATTTTACATAAATACATTTTATTATAGACATGAGCAATAGGAAAGTATTGAAAAGGGATTAGTGCAGTTTTTGCTCTATAAAGCAGTCATCACAAATGGAATTTAAAACAAATACACATTATTAGTTAATTGATTATTTTGAAACATATTAATTAAGTGCCTGCCGTATGCTAGGCTTTGCTATTGTGATTGTCTACTTTAGTAAATTAAAAGCAGTCTACAATGTAGCCAATTAGCAAGCACATTATCACAATTCAATGTTGGTGAAAGAGTAATTACACAAAATCAGAAGGTGTTTTAGCCAGTGATAACCAACCAAAATGCTTTCAAGATACTAAGGAAACACTTGTGTTAAACACAATCAGAAACAACTGAAATACTGTAGAGCTTTTAGGGTTAAGACCAATGCTTGAAAATGCACTTGTTCTGCAAAGATGACTGTTGGATGATGGGAAATGAAGTGAGTAGAGACAGAGCTCGTTACACGGCACATCCGGCTTCTTGAACTTCACAGAGTCCTCACTTAACAAAAGCTTTCAGGAGGGAATGGTAAATGGATTAAATTTCTTCTGAAAAGTATGTGTGTTTAACATTTTAAACCATCTTTGATAAAATCGCTTTTTTAAAATTTTACTCAAAATGTTGGAATGACAGTTCAAGATGTTCAGTGAAACCCAAACACAGCTGGATTCCTGCATCCCTAGTAATTATGTAATTACCAGGAAAGGATGAAGCCGTATCGTTAACACCGATTCATCAAATATCGTGTGAGAATACAAATGGTCAGATAATAACTAGATCAAGCAGTTTTCCATGAAAATTGCTTTCATTTCATGCTTGAAGAACCATGAAATAAAATTAATTTCAAAATATCAAAGATGCAAAACATTCAGACATCTTATTAGCTATTTCATATTTATGCAATCATGGACTCAGATGGACTCAATATCTATGAAAATCTATAGCAATTAACACACTATTTTTAAATTCTACCAACTTTAGTGAGACCTTTGAGGAAATGATCCAAAATCTTCCTCATAGCTTTGAAGCAAACATTCCAAGTGTCTGAAAGGAGACCCTTTCCACCGTGGCTGGTTTTAAATGATCAGCTTTGCTTCAAATACCTTCACTATCCTGAAGGCTTCCATTTGATAATCTTCAATAATTTACAAATTAATATGCTCTACAGTTTGTGTTTTTTTTTATTTTTATTTATTTGAATGGCAGAGCGGGAGAGAGGAGGTGGCGGGGAGAAAGATCCATCTTCCACCCATTTGGGGTTCACTCCTCAAATGCCTGCAACATCTGGGGTTGGAATTAGCCAAAATCAGGAGCCCGTAACTCCCTAAGGGCCTCCCACATCAGTGATGGAGAACAAATATGTGAGTCATTATCTTCTGCCTCCCAGGGTGTGCTTTAAGGAGAAGTTGGTTTGTAAATGTAGGTGGGAAAGGAACCCAAGCTCTTGGTGTACCAAGTAGCAAATTAACTTTCTGTACCACTATGGTCCCAGAGAATGTTTTTATGCACAACCTCCTACATATTAAGTGTTTATAGTTCTAGTGTATTTGAATTTCAGTAAAAATATAAAGTAAACCACAATGTAACTTTAAATTTTCTAGTATACACATTTAAAAATAAACCTTAAAAGGAGAACTTAATGTTAATAATATAAGAAGGAACTCCAAAATGTGTACGATAAGTGTGAGCTGGGAATTTAGAGTGTAGAAACTAAGATATCACTTGCAACACCACAGGCCATACTGGAGTGGCGGGTTGAGTCCTGGCTTTGCTCCAGCTTCCAACTACCCACGTTCTGCTGATGCACCCCCTGGGAAGCATTAGGTGATAACTTCAAATAGCTGGCTCACTGTCACCCATGTGGAAGACCTGGACTGAGTTCTTGGCTACCAACTTCGGCTGGCCTACCCCTGTTGGTGCAGGCACTTGTGGAGCAGGTCAGCAGGTAGGACATTTATCTCTCTCTCTCTCTCTCTCTCTCTCTCTCCTTCTCTCTGTGTATCTCTCAAATATAATAAATAAAAAATTTTAAAAATACAAGCTTACTTTGATATGATGTATTTTGAAATATTTTCGTATTTTTTCCATAACACCCATTTTCAATGAATATTGTAGGTATCTTTTATATTTTTAGTGTAATGGATCCAAATGTTATCATTTCAACATATAATCAGTTTAAAAATAATTGAGATAGTTTACTTTGGTTTGATAAAAATTTTTGAAATCTTGTGTCTGTTTTATACTTCCATCACATTTTAGTTCAAACTGTTCCTATCTCAATTACTGAGCAGTTACTTGTGTCCAGTGGCTACCACGCTGTCAACCCCATGTAGTACTTACCTTCCAGATTCTAAATCCTTTCTCTTGCCTTCAGCATGAAAACCCTTTGTAACAGTTTTCTCTAATGTGAGTACAATTCCCTTGAGTATAATTTCTTCCACATTAAATCAGTGATCATTTCTGTCTTCCACACACCTTTTACATCTGTATCTTGAGAAAGCGATGACTGAAACTTTGTCCCTGTACTGTGCCTTCACTTGGGTTCTGGGACCATGCTACTCTTCTCTTCCCCCTCTATCCCACTGGCTACTGATTCTGTATCCTTTGCTGATCCCCCACCACCAGCACCACCCTCTTTCTACCTCTCCTCACTGGAGTCTCCCAAGACTCAGTTCTCCACCCCTTTCTCTCCATGGTGACCTCATCCAGTTTCCTTGCTTTAAATGTCGTCTATGTGTATGACTGAAAAACGCAGAGCTCTCTTTAACGCCACACTCACACGTGCAGCATTCCTGTTTCTGCTTAGTAATATGGCATGAAGATGTCCCAAACCAAAATCCTACCTGTTCCTCCAAATGACCCCCCCCATCTTCAGTAGTAGCAAATCCATCTTTCAGGTTACCCAAGACCCTTGATTCCCTGTCAAGTTCATCCCTTCTCTCAAACCCTGAATCCGAAGAAGAACTGTTGGTGGCTGCACCTTGAAACCGCGTCGAGATCAGATAAACTCCTCCCCAGCTCCACTGCAGCCAAACTCTGCCATCCGCCAGCTTCCTTTGCCGGGCGCCTGCGCAAGCGTTTGAACCGGTTTACTAACTACAATGCTTGTCTTTTTACGATGTATTCCCAATGGAGCCATCAGAGGTCAAAATAAACACATTTATAATTAAATAAATACTGGGGGAGATGGGCCCCACTAACCTACTACAAAGAAATTTCTACAGACAATTCAAAGTCAAATAGGGACCGATGTTGTGGCGTAGTGGGTTAAACCACTGCTTGCAACAACGCCATCCCATATCGAAGTTCAGGTATCATTACATAATTACATGGATCAGCAATAATAGTATGGATCCGTATTAGTATGGATCAATATCTGGATATAATATAAACCAAAATATACAAAAATAAGGTCAAGTACATTCCTCAAGTACAACAGAAAAATTGTACAAAGTATAATTTAAAATAACACCATTTATTTAAGCAATAAAATAATAAAGTATCTATGCATATACATAACAAAATAGTTATAAGCTCTTGATAAAGAATAAAATTTAACTTAAAGAAATTACAGAAGCTCCAAACAAATGGAAAGATGGCCCATGTTCACGTAGAAGAAAGTGATATATGAAAGATGTCAATTTTCATAAACTGTCCCAAAAACTCATAGTAACTCTAATTAAAATCTCTGCTTTGTTTTCCATGAAATTTGCCATTCTTTTCTACAATTATATGGAAAAAGCAAATAGCTAAGCATTACCAATATATATCTTTTTAAAAATTAAGTAGGGACTTCCCACAACATAGCTAGTCTTATAGTAAAATCATAATAATTAAGTACTTATGGAACAGATTAAGAGGCAGATAAATTTACTAGTGCAAGAGACTAGAAAGTCCCAATAGTCTCTTATATAAAGGACTATTAGCATGGTCAAGGATATCATGATAGCTCAATGGGAAAAATACACACTATTCAATAAGTAGATCTAGGATTTATACTCAGTGGTGATGGGGAAAAGCAAATGTGCCCTTCCCTTATTGCTTATGTAAAAATAACTCTATACGAACTAAGATTTAAATGTAAGAAGAAAATTCAATTCAATTGGAATTCATATCCAATCTATACTCTGTCTTAAATAAGCTACAACAATCACTAACCATAAAATATGATGGACAAATTAAACTACCATACCTGTTTATCAAAACTACGAAAAGAAAGCAATACTAACTACAACAATTTTGCAATAAAATAACCAACATAGGGTGACTTACAGACCATGTGTTGAATTCCTTCAAATTAATAAGAAAAAAGACAGCTTAGAAGAAGCAGGGGAATAGATAACATTTATCCTAAAAGCGAATGCATGAAGCCAATAAAAATAAGAGGAAGTTTTTATCTTCTTAGCTATTAGGGAAATTCATACCAAGAACACAATGAGCTACCACTTAATTTTAATAAGATAAGAAGTTTAAATTTTTTCTCATATTTATACCTAAGGAGATATATGCACACTAGAAGAAATACAAGAATATTCACACTGCCATTTCCTTAAAACAATAAAGCCTGGAAATAGTCTAAATATCTACTGAAAGGAGAATGGATAAATAAGTTGTACTATAGTTAGAATTATATATTTTACCAAAGTGAAACTATGAACTATACCTGTATTTATATGTGCATCACTGGAAAATCATATGCAATATGACAGTATTTATACCTCAGAAACATGTGAAGATTTAAGACATTTTATGATATGTAAGATAAAATCCTTCTTAAAAGGTAAGAAGCATAAAAATATGAATTTCATAATAGAGTTTACTCTTGAAGTCCACTGGAGGTGGAGGTGAATCAGTGTGGGATCACTCAGTAGTTACAAACTATCGTAACTCCTCATCCCTAAATTGGGTGTCCCCAAGCAGACATCATATAACCTTAAATTAATTAAATAAAAGCAGATGCCTACAGACCAATGATTTTAATGTGCTATACCACTAAGGGTTATCATTTATTTGTCTAAATTCCATGAAATTATAAAAGGAATAAAATGTGTTGTCATAATTATGAAATAAACATGGAAAAAACATAACCGTTTACCTGGAACATGGCCTTTTAATGCCAAATTCTGGAAGGAGGTGGCAATAGCCAGAGAAACAGAAGTCTGGGCTCAGAAATCTGAGCATCCTGTGTTTCGGGCTCTCACTCTACTCACCGTCCTACTGTGGGCAAGGTGCGAATCTTCTCGGTGAAATAAGGACGACAATAGTGAAGGAGTTCTTGGAGGACTTCAGATGGGCCAAGCATCAGTACATGGCAATCACTGCTAGCGACGAGGCCGTGGCTGCCGTGCCAGGAGCTGACAGCTCCCAGCCTCTCCCCTGCCACGCTGGGATGGGGCAACCGGCCCCCTTGCTCTCCTGGTTCCCAGCATGACGATGCCATGGGGCTTTCTCGCTGAAGGTAGTGTCTACAGCTTCAAACTCAAGGGCTCTTGCTGAGTGTTAAGGGGACCAAAATGACCTCCCCCTTAAAAAATAAACTCTTGAAATACTGGAGTCACTGGGTCTGGGGAGATGACAGGTGCTGCTCCTCTTCTGTTTGGGCAATGGTTGGCAGACCACAAACAGCTAAGTGTGAACAATGCTTCTCAAACTGCCACAGCAGAGGAATCAGAGACGGCCACAGGACCGGGGGCAGCGGAAACACATGGCAATTAGGATCTGACCTCGACTTGGCTGAGTTCTTCTGCAAGAACTTCTTCTAGACGTCATAATCCTCCGAGGTCCTTCTGCACACCAAAGTGTTGAGTCTTTAGGAACAACAGAAAGTCTTTCTTGGTGGGCATGTTTTTCACCGCAGACATAACCATGTATCAGCAGCTACCCTCGCACTTTCTCCTTGTTCTCACCAAAGTCCCTGGAACATGGTAGGTGATAGGAGAGAGAGTTGAGTGGCTTTTAATGGACAGCTAATTGGAGAATCTTTTCATTGTACCCACTGGCAGTCAGCCAGCAGCCGGTGTTAACCAGTAAGATTAGCTGTCCAATTGCCATGGGTGAATATTTTTTTTTCATTATTTCTAGGAGCACAACTAATATTCCTGTGGTAAACAAACCCTCATGGTGTGAGCTAAGATATGATATTTTCAAAACAGCTTAGGTACTTCCTTAAAGAGCCCCATAAAAATAAACAGAAGAAGAGAATGGAGGAAGTCACCCCAATACATTTCAAAATAGGGGGTGTTATTCCCCAAGAGGGATGGAGAAATTCGGTATCTGCTTTTTGCACACAGCCAAATGTGCTATGAAACGTTATTGATGTATCTGACAAATTCCCAAGTATAGCATCAGCCTCTCTAAAATACCCGCTGGCACAACTTCACACTTCCGAATTTAACATTATTGTTGACAGCATTTTTCTTGGTCTCTCTTACAAAAAAAAAAAAAAAAAGATAGAATAGCCAAATTTTCACTGTATATATTTCAAAGGATCTGATACTTATCCTTTCCCATTAGAAGGTATATTCCCTGAGTGTGAAACCTGTAAGCTTAGATACAGTCCTTATTTAAATTATTTTTTTTTAGGTATAGGAGAAGAAAAAAATAGGTATCGAACAGTTACTACGAAAACAATTATGCCACCTTGGAAGGATGAAAGTTAAATGAAGTTTTAGCCTGAGAGAAATCAAATATGGACTTCTAGACCAAACAGCAACTTAGAAGTTAATAACATATTTTCATTCCTTTATCTAATGACAACTAACATTCTCTTACCTAATATTTCTCTTGCTCCTCAATGTTCTAAGAGGAAGATTGGAAATAAGTGTTTGGATTGGCATAATTTTTAAAGGAATATTTGCAAGAACAAAGTCATTAGGAGGCAAGTGAAATTACTTATTAATATTCACTGTGATGGGAATTAAATTGATACTGCTTAATGTGATAGCAGCAACTTAGGTTTTAAAAGCAAAGCTTATGTTGTAGAAAAGAAGAGTAGAAGAAACCCACTGACATTGGAATGTCAGCTTCTAGGTTCTTCCAGTTGAACGCAAACCCTGTTTTGGCTCTGTATTTCCATTTCAGTATCTTCACTGTCATGCCTATTTTTAAAAATAGTAACAGCATACTGTGCCAAGAAGCAAGGGCAATGCCAAACCTAGAAAAATCCATAAAATCAAGTTTAGGAAATAACTGAATTGCTTATAAATGTCAAATGCTATGTGAGGAGCAGTAATTAGAAAATAATTACAACAAAATCTCCTACTGCTTTGCTCATAAGATCTACAATACCCTGAAGCTGTTGTTGCCAAAAAATAGAAGGTTTATAGCTAAAAGGCAGAAACTCCATCTCCACTCACATTTATAAGCAAACCCTGCTCTATGCTTGGGGGTAGTGTTTTCACCCTAAGCAGGCTACACGTGAACCAGGGCATAAACTAAGGTGATTTGTAGGTACCATCTTCAAAGATAATCAGTGTGTCCAGCTATATGCTGCCCATGGACTGGCACCTTTCCCTCCTAGTGTTGCCTCCTAATGGTACCCGAGTACCTGGCCTCCACTGGGAGATTGTGACTAGTGCCAATATCTGAACCCAAGACAGTTAGAAGGCTTGGAGTGCTTAGATATCACCACAGAAACAGCATTGCTTTGAATACAGTCCCCCAGATTCCAACTTGGAAGTCAGAAGAATATAAAACATTTAACTTACCAGAGAATTCTGATAAATATCCACTGGCTAATGAGTTTAATTCAGTTTTGATATTGATATTAGCATAACTATAATGACAAATCATTGTGGTTGATTTACTCAGTTCCTTGTCTGAGTGTATATTACATGTCAGGTGCTATACTAAAATTCCCATGTAATCCTTGCATTAACCCTCGTTCATAGCAAAGATGTTTGGTTCAGAGTGGATAAACTAGTGCCCCAGTTCCCATAACCAATGGGTGGTAAGTCAAGATTCCAAATCAGTTTTTTCATGTGCAAAATACTAATACTAACATTACTAATAAAACTACTAACAATAATACTATGAAACATATCCTGTTCCATTGTCTATGGCATGGACTGATATCTGCTAAATTTCAATTAGCTTATTTCATTAATTAATTTAGTCTACACGATTACCTAGTATTATTAACACATGATATGAATGATATGAATGCCCTGTGCATATCCAGATTAATATGTACTAATCAATATTTATCATTTGCCATGGACTGAATTGTTCCTGCCCCCGCCAAAAAAAATTAAAAAAAATCCTGCTGAAGCTCTAATTCCCAATTTGACAGTGTACACAGTGCCCTCACGGGACCCTGAAAAAGGTAATTCAGGTTAATTGATGCCCAACAGGACTGATGTCTTGGAAGGAAGAGAAAGAGAGCCTACATCTCTCTCTCTCCTTCTGTGTGCCTCTTTCTCCTTTCACCCTACCCGCCACTGCAGAGCACCCACAGATAAAGTCATGCAAGAGCCCAGAGAGAATGTACTCATCTGCAACCCAAGAAGTGGGGCCTCACCAGAAACCAGCCCTACTGGCACCATTGCCTTGGATTTTTCACCTCTTCAACAGTGAATAAATTTCTGTCATTAAAACCACCAAAGTCTGTGCTGTTTGGTTGTGACAGCCCAAGTTACTCCAGTTCCATCAAGCTGACTGGGACTTGATGACACGTAGACAATATTGTCACATGCGCAACACTAGGAAGACAGAACTTTGCATGTGTAGGGCAGAGTTTGGAGACTCCCAAATAACCAATGGTTCCCCTGTGCATCCCTGAAAGTAGATTAGAAAAGTCTAGTTTCCCCAGACAAACATCGTCTTGGTTCGTCTCTTGGCTGCTTTGCCTGAAGCTATCACTAATAAGGCATGTGTGATGAAAAATAATTTAGTGGATTGATTCTTAGAACAGGGAACTGACTCATCTAACTCACAGAAAAGTGAGCTGCTAAGCAGCCAACAGAGACTTCCACCAATAGTGTGCTTTCATGTCACGTGCTTCTGCCCTCTCCCCTGTTCAACTCGAGCTAACTTCACCGAAAATTTAAGGAAACCAGGACTCCTCCAGCAACAGGTGGGCCCAGAAGAACGTGGGTGGAGCTAGGGCTGAGTACTGCTGTCCAGAGCCTCCTTAGCAAGAGTGGCAGGGCTCAGGTGCAACATAGGTCAGCCTCTTACAGTAAGAGCTCCCTTGAGTGGAGTTTTTAACAGCCTCTAAGGTTTGGTAGGGATGCCTGCGGCGTTTGTCTCTCCTGGGTCCTGAAGTGACACTAAGGTTCTTACAAGGAGACTAAGCTTGGTGATTTTGGTTTTAAAATACCAGGAGACTTTGTTGGCTTTTGTGTGTCTAAAACACTTGAAATCTTTCCAGTGATCCTATAATTGCTCCCAATGCTTAACAAAATATAAGAGAAACACTCTCTTCTCTCACCCTCCATTTCTGGACACCCGTCCATCCATCCAACAGCTCTAGTTTCTAGAATTGGCTTTTTTTTTTTTCTTTCTCTGCCAACTGTAGAAGTCAAGGATAGTACAAAAACATTCAATCTGGGCAGCTGCCAGCGGATTCTGCTGTGGGGGACGTTCGGCTCCTGGGCTGTTTACGGAGAACCACTGTTTCTATGGGATGCCGCCCATGTAGAGGACACAGAGAGTATTTTGTCATTACATACCCATAATGTTCCAACCACGCACACATAGGGTGCTGAGGACAGAGTCCTTTCACTCTGTTTTAATAAAAACAATAAAAAATAATTTATTTTGTATATAACCCTTCTGATTCTTTGTGTGGAGGGGATTTTGTGAACTGTTTTGTCACTAACGTTTGTCTTTAAAATTAATTTTATGGAGCATAGACAACACCAAATAATCAGCTACTATGGGATGAATTCAATTACAGGAATCTTGGCTCCATGGATTAATTTACATAAATACTTTTAAAAAACCATGCTTCACAAAACAATAAAAAATAATCCCTTTCTAATGCACTCATCTTTTAGAAGCATATCCTGTAAACGCAGACATGGTACGTGTCTTTGACTCATTGATTGCATGTTAATAGAAGATGCCCAATAAATATTTGTTGATGACAAGGGTAATTTTGAGTGCCTTCGGTGCCAAAGAAATCCCAGTGAAGTGTGGCTATTTCCCAAGGCACTGCCTATCTGGCTCCAGTTTTAAATAAGCAGTGGTTGGTTTTATTGAGGGGACCAGACAGAGGTCACTGTAGGAGTCAGCCAGAATTTGGAAGTGGAGCACTGCTGGCTCTTAGCCCTGTTTCTAGTAACGACCCCACCCTGTGTTCCCAAGAGAACAAATGTGCACTTGATAGCTGAGCAGGTGGCATGGGCTGCAGTCATAAACAGTTCCTTTCCTGTCAGGGCAGAGCACCAAGGCCCACGGATCCCTGAGCTTTCCTGTGGGGAAACCATTACCTCCAGCTACAGCTGTAACTGAAAACATCCGACTCGATCAACTTCTCAGTAATTCCTCTCCATGTGTAGTGCAAAGTCCCTGGTCGCCGCTCCCCTTGGGGATTCAGTTGTGCACATGTACGATCAGCTTCCGGGCTAAAAGACAGCATGGGGACAGCTAAAACTTACTCAGCTGCCTGTTTGTCATGAAGAGGGGCTGTAGATTTAGTCCACCTGCAAATTAGTGCAGGGGAAAGGAAGCCATTTGGGGCTCAATGGGTCTCCTTCCTTGTTTTTTCGTGTGTTTACTTCCTCTGCTTCCCTACCAGACTCCATAGCTTTGGAATTCTAAACCATTAAATAGAATTAAGACATGGCCTCATTAGTTAGAGCCAAAAGGTTACAATCAACTCCCTCCAACAATCAACCAATATCCTTTTGTTTACTGGAAATCTAACAGGAAAACACTAGCTTGTGTCTAAATTACTTGGGGAGATGTTTTCATAAATGCTTGTTGAATTTTCCTAATTAATCAAAAGTCTCTGGCACAGAGAGGCAAACTGTTAAGGCCCAAGACACAGGGCTGGCAGAAAACTGGTCAGCAGAGGCTGTCTTTTGTGCAGTCTATGTGCTACCTGGCACAGAAAGTACTCAGCAAATCTTGATTATGATTACAATACAATAGTTAATTACCAGGACTTTTCTTTGTCCATAAAAAGTATTTAGACTCTAGTGACATTAATGAATTGAGAAACAAGAGTTTCCCTACATTTGTATGCAAAAAGAGAGGGCAAGTTCTCCTTGTTTCCAAAGGATATCCCTTGTGCTGACGGTATTCCATGGCGTGAGCCCCGCAGCACCAAAGCCAAAGATCCAAGCTGGCCAAAGAAAACGCTGACCCTACTGGATCTGAGTAGGTCAAGGAGTTTTATGGTGAATGGAGAGTGACTGTAAAAGTTAATCTCTTATTTATGTTACACTGTGATAATCCTGCCTAAGGGTAACAGCAGCCACAGAAGTCAGGAAGTTGAAAAGAATTAACAGCAACAGAAAAAAAAAATCATAGACCATCTTTTTGTTTTAACAATTTTAACGTAAAATTGAAAGATGGTTTATTTGTTTAAAAGCACTCTGAAGGCTAAGCAAATGCATGTGTTTTATGATAGTATATGAAGATACTTCAAAAAGTCCATGGAAAAACTGGACTGAAAGATAAGTTTATTTTGGTTTAATTTTTAAATTCATGCATTTTTCATACTATGCATTTACCACAAGTTTTTGAAGACCCCTTGGATGCATGGAGTTCAAAAAGGTCAGCACAAAAATCAATTTCTCTTTTAATTTAATTTTCCATGATCTTTGTGAAGTCTCTTCCTTTTGAAATAGAAACAATATAGGATATTCAGAACTGCAGAACTCTAAGTTAAGAAATGTTACTTTATATAACATTTTTTAAACACTGATGATTACACAGGCACCTTAACTGGAAAGCATTTAGGATGCTTTCCAGCTTATTTATTTTTATGAAGAGACTTGAGGTACATTAAAGAACACTGGCAAGGAGTGATTTAAAAAATCATTTTTCAGTTTCGAGAGTCCTTTTACAGATTTTTTAATGAGGATGCAGCAAAGGCAACATTGAAGCATATTGTGAAATACTCAGGTTAGACGAGAAATCGTTTCCTGAGGGGATTTAGTCATAGGAATAAGTCACCAAAAGGAAGCGCTACAATCTTTTTCTCTAGAGATCTTTAAAAACATGACATGTTTCATCTCTCCAGGACAGTGTCGAATGTGAAGCTAGATGGTTACAATACTTGAATTCAAGGAGAATATAAATTTTTTTAACTGTGGGTAAGAATTTTATGTCTTCAAAAATGCTTAAAATGGGAAAAATTATTAATGAATTTCCAATCAACTTGGGTAAAACAATTTTCTTGCTGCACAGAAAGTAAACTCCCAGCACAGCACTGCTGCTTCTGGCTTTATAAATTCTTCGTTTAGACTCTGGCTCCTTTTCTAACATGAACATAACAGTCCAGGAACTCATATTTGGAATCCAAGTTACATAACTTATTAAATGTTGCCAAAATCAGTAATATTTCTTATTGTCAAGTATGCTTTGTTTATGAAATACAGTGATTATATATTATACCTGAAGAGGCCCCAGGAAATAAGATTAGATATGAAAATACTCATGGGACAATTTTCAGAATGAATTCACCCACGGCAAGATTTTTTTTCTAATGGATGAAGACAGGTCGAATTCTTGTAGTGTAACATTATACTAATATCAGAGATGCAATACAGTCTTGACAGGGATTTGGGTACCAATGGCTATGCCACTGTTTCCCAGTAAAATCGATTAAACACTGCACACTCCTCCATACATCTCAGGAAATGAAGGTATATCTGACATCTTAGAGAAAATAAGAAAAACAAGGGTAAAGACAGAAGCTTAGGCACATATATGCATAGGCAAGGGACAGTCAGGCAATCCTGGCTGAACAGAGAGTAAGGAGTGTCCCAGGGCATATGAGAGACAGACACGTCAGTGCCCCAGAGACCACCATGTATAAAAGTTCAGTAAGGACACCTGAGTCAAGGGCAAAGGGAGGTAAGAAGATGAGCTCTAAGTAGCATCATCTGACTTGACAGGAAGGACATTATCAATGACCTTCATGGTCAGAGACTGAAGTTTGTAGGAGATGATAGGGAGAGAGAAGTGAAGAAAAAATGTGGCAGTGACCTAGACTTTTTCTAATTATTGGTAGTTGGCTGTAGAGAGCAGAAGCATTCCTAAGGAAGAGTAGAACCAGAATAACAAGGATGCTAACAGCAAACAGGAAGGAGAATGGGGGCAGACATTTAGCCCAGCAGTTGAGGCACCCACATTCCTCATTGGAGGGTGTGGGTCTGATGCCAGCTCAGGGTGCTGACTCCAGCTTCCTGCTAATACAGACCTGAGAGGCAGCTGTAGTGGCTCAAGTAGCTGGTTCCCTGTCCCCCATGTGGGAGACCTGGATTGAGTTCTGGGCTCCTGGTTTTGGCTCTGGCTGAGCCCCAGTCATTGCAAGCATCTGAGGTTTGGATAGGATTTTTCCCTCTCCCTTCCTCCACACCCCCTTCCCAAGGAATAATAAAAAAAAAATTTTTTTTTCACAAGAGAAAGGATACTGCTCTTGACATTGTACCACAGAAGCATGCGGGGACACAGAACAAATCCTTTTTTTTTTCTTACTTTCCTCAAGCCGCAGAGTGCAATGGCATATATATGTGCTCCTCCTGAAACTGTTTATGATATGATTTTAAACAAACCTTATATTTTATAGAGTGATTTTTATATTACTTCTTATTTTTCTGAATTGAAACACAAATCACATGAGCTGCTCAATTAGGCAGCATTTGCTGAGTTATGCTGAGGTAATAAACAGTCCCCACATGCCCGCGGCTTCTAGCAGCACAGGGTCACTCCTTGCCTGCATAGCACGGGACTGCCACATATGTTCCTAATTCAGGAGTCCAGAATGATGAATGGCTCCTCTCTGGTTATGCTGTGAGCAGAGGAGGGGAGTGATGATGGAGCCACCCGTTGTTCCCAAGCTTCTGCTGTACTCATGGCTGGGATCACTTTGCTTGCACTGCATTGATCAAAGCAGGTCACCTGCCTCAGACATGGGATGCAAAAGGAGAATTCTCTGACAGGGAGGGCAGGGAACATATGTTAACAATACGATATAACAACTGTTCGGACTTTGGAAAGCATAAAATATCTAGAAAAAAATAAAGGTTTCCGTATCGTTAGTTTACTGATTGGATCATAATAGGCATTCTGTTTGTATACTTCTTTCCAATTAACACTACATCACAATCTTTCTCTATGTCCTTTGTATTCTTTAAAATGTTATTTTAAAGGTTCTGCATAATTGCATTGTTTGGACGTATGTATTCTTTAGCCTTTACCTTGACTTTCTCACTTTATCTTTGTTAAAGTTCAGCTATTTGGCATTTTAGGACACATTTTCTAAGCTTGCTTTTGCAAAATGTTAATGACCTGAAAAAAAATGCCTCTACGCCTTTAAAAATGGCTGCCTAATCTCTCCTCTTGAAGAATTAACCTCTCCTTGAGAAAATAAGTTTTTTTTTTTTCCAGTAGTATCTGAACAGTTGCCTAGAAAATGAAAATAACACCCAGGAGTGCTGATGTATTTGAGGTGTTTTATGCCCATGATTTGATTCATTGTGAAATCTTTGGGGTGACCAATGCACCTTCTTTACAGCCCTAAGAACTCCCTGTCAATCACTTAGCAAACGAGTTAGCACTCAGGCATTACCCATTTCAAGATTTTCACTAAGAATGTCCATTGGAGAGTTTAATTTTGAGATTACATGGGTTCCCTTTAACAATCTGAAATCTAAAGAAATAAATTAGATGAGTGATGTGGTTGGCACCTGTTTCGTTACCGAAGATCAATTCCTTCCTTCTTTCTGTCCTAATGGCACATTCCAGCAGTGGAGCCTGACCCCACCCTCCGCTCTAAGGGCAGGATGGACCAATGAGAGGGTGGCCCTGGTCTCCTTGTCACTGACTTACTGAGGGTGGCCAGCCTGCACCATCCTGCTGGTATGAGAAGATGTCTGACTTCGAAGAAATCTTCCTTCTGTTCTAAGAGTCAGCCATGTGTTTCTCCTTCCTCGTGACAATTTCATGTCCAGGAGTGACCCTTGCAATAGTTGTGAACAGCTCCCCTGCATGTTAGAAAGAAGCGAAAAGGGAGAGTGTCGGGCACAAGAGGTGAAAACAACTTGGGACTTTGATGGCCTATGGGGAATGCTGAGTCAACCATCCTGGAAATGTGCCTGCCCTCTTGAAGTCCTGTTATATAAAAGTTAGTGCATTTCATTACTGCCTAATCAGATTCAGGGGACTTCAGGACTCCTGAAGAAGGCATTCCTACTGCTACAAGGCAGGCAGGATGTGCTCAGAACTATCAACCCAGGAGTCTGCATGGGACTTCTGAAACACAATCCATCTGACACTGACACATGCATAGCAGGACTCTGTGTGCACTTGGTGCCCTGACTGTCACTCAGTTGCTGAAAGGGCTGTCATGCGTGCCTGTGTTGTGATTAAGGAAGTAGAGGCAGGGCCAGCGCTGTGGTGTAGTGGGTAAAGCCGCCGCCTGCAGTGCCAGCATCCCATTTGGGCACTGATTCGGGTTCTGGCTGCTCCACTTCCAATCCAGCTCTCTGCCATGGCCTGGGAAAGCAGCAGAGAATGGCCTAAGTGCTTGGGCCCCTGCACCCACATGGGAGACCCTGATGAAGCTCCTGGCTCCTGGTTTTGGATCGGGCTGGCTCTGGCCATTGCAGCCATTTGTGGAGTGAACCAGCAGATGGAGGACTTCTCTCTCTCTGCCTCTCCTTCTTTGTGTAACTCTGACTCTCAAATAAATAAATCTTTAAAAAGCAAGAAAATAGGGGCAAGTTAAACACATTTTTAAAAGATTCATTTATTTGAAATGCAGAGCTACAAAGAGAGAAGGAGAAACAGAGGCAAAGAGGTCTTCCATCTGCTGGTTCACTTCCCAAAAGGTGGCAACAGCCCAGGCTGGGCAGCTCAAAGCCAGGAGCCTGGAACTTCTTCAGGGTCTCCCATATGGGTGCAGGGGCCCAAGGACTTGGGCCATCCTTCACTGCTTTCTCAGGTGCATTAGGAGGTAGCTGGATTGGAAATAGAGCATCAGAGACACAAATCAGCTCCCATATGGGACACTGGTGTCATAGGCCACGGCCCCACCCACCAAGCCACAACACTGGCCTCAAATTAAACATCATATTTGAATCTCAAAATAAAGGGGGGGGGTGGACAGGGTGATTTTAGTTCCTAAATGTCAATTCAGGTGCTTTACAATAAACAAAATAAATTCTAATGCATAAACGTGCAAGTTATATCCCAGAAATGCCCACCATTAGCAGTAGACAGCATAAGAGTTTGCTCACAGCTTTGGAATGTTTCCCTCAGGGCAATGAAACAGACTGACACTCAAGATTCAGTCATAAAATTGGTTGATTTGAAGCACAAGTCGTTCCACTTTACTCATGAAGATAAGACATACAAAGAACCAGGGATGGAAGGCATAGCTAATACAAAATCGATTTCTCTCATTGGTTCTGAAGTCTTTCCTTCCATGTCTCTCACCCAAGTTTGTAATGGCAAAAATCAAAATCACTCTCTGGAATTCAGTTTCATGTTTCTGCTTTCCATTCTCTAACTCCGAGATATAGGTGAAAATGACCACACTGAGTTGAATACAAAGTGTCTAAACCTCAGACAACCAAGTCCTGCAGAGTTAAGCCTGAACTAGAATCTGAAGCCTTGACAAGCTCCCTCAGCTACATACAAGGACAAAACTTTCTTAAAAATTATTTATTTTATTTGAAAGGCAGAGTTACAAAGAGACGGACACACACTCACACACACACACAGAGAGAGAGAGAGAAAGGTATTCCATCTGCTGGTTTACTCCCCAAATGGCCTAAAGGGTTGGTGGTGGTCTGGTCCAAAGCCAGGAGCCAGGACCTTCTTCTGGGTCTCCCACGTGGGTGCAGGGGCCCAGGCTCTTGGGTCATCCTCTGCTGCTTTCCCAGGCACATTGACAAGGAGGTGGATAGGAAGTGGAGCAGCCAAGAAGAACCAGTGCCCATATGGGCTGCCGGCACTGCAGGAGATGGCTTTACCTGCTATGCCACAGCGCATGCCCCAGGACAAAACTTTTTCACTTTCCAACTCATTCAAGCTTCCTTCTGACATACCTAAGTACATTATAGACAACGATTATATCCCAGAATCTCATTTACATGAATATTTTGATTGAAAAGGAAAAAGGTTTTGTTTTTAACCTCTGACTATAACAATGGGAAAACAGGTACAGAAAGATACAACATTGATTTCCTTTTTTTAAATGAATTTTCTGTTGATCATTTCTCCTTTGCATTAAACATTTGATAACAGTATCTGCAAATAAAAAATGAATTTTCCAGAGGATTTCCCCAAGTTCTCTGGGTAAATGGAGATGCCAATTTCCTCTCAGTCAACAGATTCCCAATTAGGTCTGTGGAATTCCTAGGAATTACGATAAAAAAATATAACCTGAAAATAAAGTGACCACCAAGCCTGAGAGAAGACAAGCCAGGAGTACAGCCAGCAGATCTGGGAAACATTTCTCTTCGATCCTAAGGATTCAGGCACTGAAATGCTCAGGCATAGACTACCTAGAGCTGTCCCTGATTTCTGGGAGAAAGGGGTCCAGGACTCCCAAATGGAGCAAATACGCAGATGTTCAAATCCCAAGTACAAAACTGTATAATGTTTGCACTTAACCTATGCACATCCTTACATACGCCTTTTAAAATCGTTATTTACTTATTTATTTATTTGATAGCAAAGAGAGAGGAAGTTCCCATCTGGGAGCTCTGCTGGTCAACTTCCCACACACAAAGAGACCAGGAATGGGCCAGGGCTGAAGCTGGGATCCAGGAACTCAATCCAGGTCCTCCATACATGTGGAAGGAGGCCAGTTACCCAAACCACACTGCTGCCTCCTAGGATCTGAATTAGCAGGAAGCTGGAGTCAGGAGCCACAGCTGGGTATCAAACCTACGTTTTCAGATGTGGGATGCCAGCACCTTAACTGGGGTCTTTAACTTCTAAGCTAAACACCCATCTCCTCCAATGTACCTTAAGCCATCTGTAGATGACTCATAACACTTCACATGGTGCAGAGGCTATGCACATAGTTGCTAGACTGTATTGTTTAGGGGAAAATGACAAGGAAGAAAAGTCTTCACATGTTTAGAACAGATGCAACGTGTGCAGTATTTTCTTACCTGGATGTTTTCAATCCTTGGTTGGTTGAATCCACGGGAGCAGAGAGCCAACTGCGGTAGCTATGTATTAGTTGTCTGTTGCTGCTATAACAAATGACCACAAACTTAGTGGCCTGAAACAACAGGAATTTATCATCCTAGAGTTCTCCTGAAACTACGGTGTCAACAGGGCCATGTTCTCTTCTGGAACCCCTGGAGGCGAGTCTATTCCTTGCCTTTTCCAGGTTTTTGGGACTAACTACAGTCTTTGGATCCAGAAATATTATATCTCCCGGATCCACTTTCATTATAACATCTCTTTCTCTGGCCTGTTTCCTCTGCCTCCCTTTCCCATTTTAATGGTCCTTCTAACCCTATTATTCCTGCTTGGATAATTCAGGATAATCCCCCTCTCTGATGATTAGCAATCCTAATTCCATCTGCAACTGTAATTCCCAATTGATGTGCACACCAACAGTATGCACAGGCTTAAGAAAATTAAATAAAAAACCGCAAATATGATAAGCAACACTTGACCATCAGTAGTGGGCAAAAAGATATTAAAATTAAAAAGATGAAATATCTTAATTAAAAATACAATTTGGGACTGGCGTTGTGGTGCAGTGGGTTAAATCACCTCTTGGGGTGTCTGAATCCCACAGCAGAGTGCAGATTTGTGTCCTGTCTCTTCCACTTGCAACTCAGCTTTCTCCTAATGTGCCTGGGAAGACAACAGATGACCCTCCACGTCCTGGCCCCTGCTGGCCACGAGAGAGGACCAATAGAACTCCAGACTCCTGGCTCAGCTGGGCTCAGCCCTGGCTGTTATGGACATTTGGGGAGCGAACCAGTGGGTGAGAGACCTCTCTTTCTCTTTCTCTACCTATCTCTCCTCTCTCCGTTTCACACATTCAAGTAAATAAATAATTTTTTAAAACAACGTGATTTTTGAATTACAGACTTCTACAAACCAGTTAAACAACTTTTTACACAGCTAAAGAAATAATTACTGAACTGAATATATATATATCTGATTAGATCACCCAAATGTGCTGATAAAGGACCAAAAACAACAACAAAAAAAGATGTGAAAACAAAGTTAAAATACATTGAAGAAAGGATGAGTAGCTCTAAGACTTGTGTAGTTGGAATCCAAAGGGAAGAGGGTTCAGATAGCTGACAGAGGAGGAAATATGTGAAGAGACAGTGGCAGAAAAGTTGTAAAGTAAATGAAAATGTGAATTCACAAACTCAGGGAGCATAATGACTCTGGCAGCAAAAAAAAAAAAAAAAAAAAAAAAAAGAAAAAGAAATCCACACTTGGATGGGTTTTACAAAGTTTGCAAAATACCAAAATCAAAGAGAGGCTCTTAAAAGCTTTAAGAAAAAAAAAAGACCCATCACTCAATAAAGACTGAAACTCAGACTGATAGAAAATGCTGAGCTAATGTAACTATAATAAAAATAATAAAAAATTATTTTGCAGAAGCAAGAGTAGAGTCATTTTCAGATAAACAAAGACAGACTTACCTCTAGCAATTCTTTACTCAAGAAATTTCTAGATGTATTGCAGCAAGAAGGAAAATTATCATAAAGGGATCATCTGACCTATAAGAAAAAATAGCAGTGAAATAAAATCACAAATACATATATATATATATGTTATCTTAAAATACTGTCTGCAGAGAATAATAAGGACATTGTCTCATTATTTCCTCTTAAATTTTAAAACACAGCTGTAAAATACAGGTGGGGAGCAGGTATTTAGCCTAGTGGTTAAAATACCCACACTGGAGTAAGTGGGTTCAGTTCTGAACTCTGCCTCTGGACTCCCGCTTCCTGCCAATGCAGGAAGTACAGTGATAGCTCAAGTAAATTGGCTTCCTGCAACCCCTAGGAGAGATCTGGATTGAGTCCCTAGCTCCCAGCTTTGGACCCGGCCCAGCCCCAGCAGCTGTGGGCACTTGAGTAATGAACCAGCAGATGGGAGCACTCTTCCTCTCTGTCTCTCAGCTTCTCAAAGAAATAAAATTTAAAAAAACAAAAGAGTACACAGCCATCTGCTATTTATGTACCCCAAATACAAAAACTCAGGTGCAGGTAAAATGAGACAATAGCATTGTATCCTTTCTGTCTCTCTCTCTGCATGCCGAATTATCTTAAAAATTAATGTATTGAAACAAACATTACTTCTTCTATACATTTTCCTGTAGTTGAGGAACTCAGAAGGAGCTTAACGGAATGATTTTTCCCAGTCTGCTGAGACATCACAGTCAAGTTGTGGCCTGGGACTCCAGCTGTCCCAGAGCTTGACTGGAACTGAAGTACCTTTCCACAGGCCTGGTATCCTCACAACGGGACATCTGGCTTTCCTTTGAGCCAAAAATCCAAGGTGTCTTTTATATCCTGGGCCCAAACCCAAACAGTACCATTTATGTAACCTTACTGATTGGGCTGGTCAGCTTAACTCATGGGGAGAAGAGATCATTAAATGCCATGATTATCAGAACAGGGAATTACTGGGGGCCACCTGAGATACACAAAGATAACAGTATCAAACAAAAAACCACTGGGTAGCTAGGTTAACACCAGAGAAAATTGACTTTAACACGAAATTACTGTAAAAGATCAGGAAAAAAATCATTACATAATAATTAAGAAAATCTAACCAATCTATATGCAGATTAACATGGGGGAAAATTCATCTCAAAATATAGAGAGCAAAGTATATATGGAACAAAAAGAAAGAAGATAAATTTCAACACATTTCATTCAATTACTAACAGATCCATCAAAAACTAGTAGAGATAAAGAAGCAACAAGTTGACTTCTGCATTTGACAACTGGAGAATGTACATTAATATAGACATGAAGCATTTATAAGAATTAACCCTAAGTGAGGTCAAAATCAGGTATTAGGTAATTTGAAAATTATTTTGTAAGACTATATTCTTAGGATAGTGTACAATTAAAAATAACAGGGGCAGGCATTTGCCACAGCAGTTAAGACACCATTTGGGCCAGGGCTGGGTCAGGCTAAAGCCATGATGCAGGAGCTTCTTCTGGGTCTCCCACATGGGTTCAGGCGCCCAAGCACTTGGGCAATCTCCTGCTGCTTTCCCAGGAGCATTAGCAGGGAGCCGGATCAGAAGTGGAGCAGCCAGGACTCCCATACGGGATGCCAGCGTTGTACACAGCAGCTTAACCTGCTGCCCGGCAGCACCTGCCTCAATCATCCAGGATTTGAAAACAAACTCAGAAAAAGGAGAAATTAAAAGTAGGGTCTCTTTAATAACAGAAATAAGTAACTCAACAAGGATAAACCAAGCCAAAAGACAAACCTCTAGAGATTGCTCAAGAAAAAGGAGAGAAAACAACCAACCAACAAATCACAAGATGTTAAAGGACAACAGAACTTCAGCTATAAGAGAATAAGAAAATAAACACTATATTACCGAAAACACTTGCAAAATGAGCGATTCTTAGAAATATAGCACTTATATCACTTACTCAAAACTGGAGAAAACCTCTAAAAATATACCAGTATTTGAGTCAGTAGTTAAAATATGCACATAGTAAATATTAGACCAAACTAGTCTTACAGATAAATTAGACAAAGCTTTCAAGGTAACTATTGGTTTTTACCTTATATACATGTATCAATATAATTGAAAATGAGGAAAGATAAGAACTTCCTAATTCTTTTATGTATTCATTTGAGAGACAGAGACACACAGAGAGCTCCCATCTGAGGCTTCATCCCCAGATGCCTGTGTCTGAGAATGGTGCTAGAGCCAGGAGCTGGGAACGACTCCTTGTTTCCCACAGGTGTGGCAGGAACTGAATCATTTGAGCCTTCCCTGCTGCCTCCCAGGAATCGCATTAGCAGGAAGCTGGAGTCAGGAACTGGAGCCAGGAATCAAACTCAGGCACTCTGATGTAGGAAATATGCATCTTAACCATTAGGCGAAATGCCCATTCTTCAACCTTTTCTTTGAAGTCAACAAAATCTTGCACCAAATTCAGACAAAGATTGCATGAGAAAGCAAAGTTGGACCCATATCATGAATCTAAAGTACATCAAGCCCAACAGTTGTGGAAAAAAGAAATGATTCATGAATGACCAAGAAGTGTTTTTCTGGGGAATCTGAAGAACCACTTAATGTTTAAAAATCTACAAATATCAACTGCCACATAAGAAGAATAAATCTATGCAAAACAAGAGTTTTATAAAACGCAGCACTCTAAATGAGAAAAAAATTTTAGCAAACAAGTAATTAAAGAGAACTTCTTTAACCTGATAAGAAGTTTCCAGGAAAAGACCAAAGGAAACATCATTGTTAATGATGAAACATTATAATGAATTCCTTTTAACCCCCTGAACTAGCTGTCATATAATACTACACCATTAAAAATGGTACTGGAAATTCTAGCCAGCACAGGAAGGCAAAAAGATGAAATAAATGTCATGCAAACTTAGAAGATAGAAACAACTATCATTATTCTCAAATTATATAATTGTTAAAACACACAAACTCCCTTACAAATTTGCAGGCTATTAAAAATAAGAATTTCATCAAGTGGCTGGTAATATGAGCAATAATAAAATACTATATATTGCTCTTTATTGGCACCAAATAAAATCAGAGTTTTTAAATGCTATCATTTATTAGGAACAAAATATATTTATACCTAAGAACAATACTAACAAAATCATGCAAATCTTTTATGCAGCAAATTATAAAATTCTTCTGAAAGATATAATAAACTAATGAGATAAATTATAAGGATTCAATATCACCCAAATTTAGCTAATGGTTTAGTGTCATTTTCACCATGTATCTAGAATTTTTTTTGGAAAACTTTGACAAGTTGATTCTAAAATTTATGAGCAGAGTAAATAACCAAGAAAACAGATGTTTCTGAAACAAAAGAATAAGATGTGAGGACTTGCCTCATAATTATTCAGATTTACTGTGACGCTAATTTTAAGAGTGGCATGGTGCCATAATGGATAACTTGTCCACTGAAACAACAGATAGCCAGAATCAGTCACATGTTTGCTCAGACATTTATTATGTGATACAGGGAGTACATTCAATAACGCGGAAAGGAACGCTATTCAATAAATAGCTCCGAGATAACTGGGTACCCATGTGGGAAAAAATGAAATGGGATTCCAATCTCAAAACACATGTGAAAACAATTTCCACGTAGATTAAGGCTTTGACTATGAGATACAAAACTAAAATTTAGGGGGAAAATAGGAAGACATCATCATGGGAAAACCCAATAATCACAGAGGCATGAAGAATTTCCTTTAGGACTGACAATTTATATTAAAGTTAAGATTTCATACTAATTGGAAGATATAATAACTATTTTCAGAAAAGATAAACTACAGGGCCTGCATTGTGGCATAGTGAGTAAAGCCACCGCCTGGATGGTGGCATCCCACATGGGCACTGGTTACAGACCCTACTGCTGCACTTCCAATCCAGTTCCCTGCTAATGTGCCTGGGAAAGTAGCAGAGGGAGGCCCACCACATAAGACCCGGATGAAGCTCCTGACTCCTGGTTTTAGCCTGGCTCACCTCTGACCATTGTGGCCTTTGGTGAGTGAGCCAGCAGATGGAAAATTATCTAGCTATCTGTTTA